AGAGAGAGAGAGAGAGAGGTGTCATCTTTTGATCATTACAGAAATGGGTTTAGAATTGGTGCATTTTGTTCAATTTCTTTAACTGTATGATGCCTGCATATGCTATAGATTAAGGATGGATAGATTCAATTTTTGATTTGTTTCTGTGTACTTTCCTTTTTTTTCTCCCTCTTTTATCAATGGTTATGAGTTCTATCCTTTTCCTCAGCGAGGATGGGAGGAAATGAAGGGTGGTTTATTTCCATGTCAAATCAGTAAATCCCCTCGTGTTATGGTTTGCTCATATTTGCAAATATTTTCTCTGCATAGAATGCTACTATGCATTTAATATCTAACTATATGTTCGTATTTGTTTTCGATTGAGCATTAAGAATTCATTTGAATAGCAATACTTCTGGCTTGCATCTGGTTTTCAAATTGGAATTTTGGTCTCTTCTTCTGGTTCACTAGAATTATGCAGCCAATGTCAAATTATGAGCATTTAGCGATCGATTATACCATATCATATTCACACTTCAATTGCCCGTGCGATTTGGATAGGATAGCAATATGGCCTAGTCATTAAAACTTCCAATGATCATTGAAGATGATACTGACAGAGTTTTCTTTTGCTTCTTAGATAACTTCAAGTGACAAAAAGATGTCCTTATTTTTTTGGCCTGTACTATAGGCCTTATGAAGGTGGCTGCACTATAATTTTATGATGCCTAATTTTTTTTTAATTAATGCAATGAGATTGATGAGGTTAATTTGATATATGGAGTCATTCCTTTGAGAAATTTATATAGTAAGTGTTTGTAGGCTCACAAGCTTACACAGATTGGAAGGACTTACACAGTGTCGGTAAGTCCGTTTGCTCGCTCAACTCAGTATATAACTATGTCATACATATATTTGCATGAATGAAAGCTAAAGATTCTCATCTATAACCAAATAAGACGAACCACATTGCTCTCTCCCTTTTGACTGGTTCAGAAGAGCCCTTTAAAATGAAACTCCCTTTAGAAAACCCTAAAAAGATTGACGAAATTTTTAATGCAGCATTGAATCCCTCCTCTTCCATTTAATTGAGAGGTCTCATGCCTTAGTTGACCATTATATGGCCCTTCCTCCCAAATCTTAACTATGAGGTGTCTTGTCCGTGTTAGCTCCATCATGGAGCTTAGTTCTTTTCCCAAAGCATAAGCGTGAGGCTTCATTGCCTTGTGAAGCTTAATATGGCCCTTGAACCCTATTCTCGAATCCTAATAAAGAGGTCCCATGGGCTTTTTAATCCCTATTATGGCTTTTCACATTATGGCTGACCAGAATATGCTCAAGCATCACATCGCTTTCCTCACAATTTGAATTACCTGTGTCTCCACTCTCTACGATTCAATTGATTGATCAGCTCCTCTCACTCTACCATGACCACTCCTCTAAGCTCATGAATGTATATCTTTTCTTTTTATGGGCAACCATTTGTTCATTAATCAAGGGAAAGTTGTAGGATTCCTGTACATGGGTAACTGTTGTTGTTGAAGTTTGCTTAGGAAAGCTTGGATGGATCATTGGGACTTTTGTTGAAGAGCGATATGTGACTGAACCCTTAATGACTAGCCTGTCCCATGTCATTGTTGGAAGACATTTTTCATCATCATGGGTCCCCGATGCGGAATAAAAGGAGAAGCCGGTCAATAAAGCCTAATATACAGTGGAAATTTTGATAGTCTCAGAATGGCCCTAAAACTGATCAAGATTTTCATAAACACTTCAAAAGCCCGCCTGTCAAGTTTCGTCGCAATCCGACATGTCTAGAGCAGTGCAGACCAAGGAGCAGTTTCGGCAGAATCAACCTGTAGCATCCTGAAACAGACCCTATAACTAGAACTATATTTTTGGTGTCTCAAATTGCTGTAGAACTACCGCCATTGGATCTGGCACGGTTAAAAACTCCCAGGGGCCAAATTTCAACTTAAACATACATCCCAAGAAGAAGCTATAGGCAAAATATCGAAACAGGAGGAGCCACACACTCTTCCCGTGCGGCCACCCTGCCATTAAGCTCTATTAAAGGGATAGTCGCGAACAGTGACTTTTGATGCTCATATCTCACCCGTCTCGAGTTGGATCGCGCTCAAATTTGGTGAGTGTGTTTGACTCGTCAAGACGAGCATTTCGATATGCGGCACGTCCCATGACAACGCCCGAGCGCGAAGAAAAGTTAGAGAGAATTTGTTGATCCGTGAAGAAAGTTGCAGGAAAATCAGTAGCGTCTTGCCTCACTCGAGTGGCCAAATCACGGTGCGTGCAAACCCGGTTGATGTAAAACCAGTTCCATCGCGTGCTTAAGGTCTAGGGCTATCTTTAGCCCGAACCTTGTATATGATGAACGGTCGGATTTCGCACAGGAAGCCGATGAAGTGACTGTAAATTCAAGTGTCGGAATTTTAAATTCCGGTCAAAACTCCAAAGTTGCGAAATCTTTGTCCGGGCATGGAATCGAGCTGTGTTTATTGCTACACGATCATGACGGCATGCTCAATATGATTCAGCAAAGAAATCACAGAAAAGCATCAAGGAACGAGCACACTATCGATGTGAAGTTGCAAGATTCATTCAAATTTCAAGTCGCATGATCGTGGCCTAAAAGCACGATCTATGGCGCGAAGTTGGTGTCAAGTCAATCGCCATGTCGAGCCCTACAAAACAATCATCTTTCGATCAAACAGGCATCAGAACAACCCCGGATCATCTATGAAAGATTACGCACATTCTAGGGCAGCACAGGGACTATTTTGGAATTTCACAAATTGTTAGGAAGGGGCAAATCTATCATTTTGCACCCTATTTTTTAATTTCTTTTAATTCAATTAAATCTTAATTTTCAGTAATTAGATTTACTTTTGATCAATCCGCCCATGTTTGGGCATAACTCTATGTATATCACGTACTACTTTGTACGAGGACCTTTGGCCAATGAGAACTTTGCTCAATAAAATTTCTCTTTCCTCTTATTGTTGGGTCACATTGAGATAGAGAGAGAAAAGAGAGAAACTTTTGGATCGGTACCCCTTGGCTCAAGGTAAATCTTTCTCTCTCTTTTCTTTTCTTTTCTTTTCTTGTTCTGTTTTCTTCTTCTCTCTCTTCTCCTCTTTTTTCTTCTTCTTGGTTTGATCCTCACTTAGAGGCCATGCACGGCAGTGGCAGTGCCGTGAAAGCCTCTTTTTTTTGTTTTTTTTCCCTCCTGTGGTTTCACAGGTCGCGCATGGCGTTGGCAGCACCATGCGTGAGCTTCTTTTCCCTTCTGTTCGTTCATCTCTATCTCTCAGCGTCGCTCGCAGACGGCCCTGCTCGTCACCGTCTGCAAATGTGTCCTCGACGTCTCAGCAAGTAACACGGGCGGTGAAGCTTATTGCACCCGCAGGGGTTTCACCTTGTTGCAGGCGGCGATGCTTAATGCCGTTTGCCAAGGGTTGTGGCAATGCCCATCGCCGTCCACGTGCTTCTCTCGTGAGCTCGGTATCTATCGTCGTGCGCTAAGTTTCTCTTGTACGCTCGGTATCTGTCGCCGTTCACTAGTCTTTCTCGTGCGCTCGGTACCATTGCCGCACGCAGGCTTCCTTCGTGCACTTGGTACCTATCGCCGTGCGCAAGGCTTCTCTTGCGTCCCATGCCTATCGCCATGCGTTTCACGAGAGGTTATTGTCGTGTGCCTCACCAGAAGCTACCGCCGCTCGCAAGGGACGCTCTGTCTTCTCGTGTTGCCAACAGTGATGCCTATCGCCAACCGTAAGGGATGTGCTGCCTTCTCGTGCCACTAACAGTGGTGTTTAGCGCCTCCTAGACCCTATCTCTTCGCCGCCTCGTGCCTTCTCTTCGTTCTCTTCTCTCCTCACTTGACTGAGGGTAGACTAAGTTTGGCACTGTTATAGCGGTTTGGTTGTCGAGCAATGTTACCTTCGTGCTGGTCTTGAGTACCATGCTTGTCTTGTTGCCACACCAGATTAGGACAATTGCATTGGCCTCGGTTTCGAGTAGTATTGCCGTCGTGCTGGGCTTGAGTACCATGCCCGTCTTGCTACCACTCTGAGTCGGTCGTGGGTCCAACTATCATGCTAGTCTCATCCCCTTGTCAAGTTTTCTTCTCTATTCAAACCTTCCCCTTCATCACCCTCGATTATGAATGTGCATTGCCCTAAGACAAGGGTGGGCCCTTCGGCCCACTTGTCTTGCTAGTTAACCATGATAATG